AATCAATTTACTCGTACATACTGGAGAAGCAGCAACTTTGGAGGAGGGCTTCGATACTACCACAGGGTTCCTTATGAACAGACTAGGACCCTGGAGTGGCTCTTTTCAAAGGAGACTGCAGGGCGAAATTCACTAAATTTCTTTTACTAGTTTTACTTACTGTGTGGCAGGGTCGGTGTGAAAGAACTTGTTGGTACCTCCAGAGTAAGTCTCTCTACGCAGAGATAAGAGAGAGGAGGACAGAAGTGTCCTCACAGAGTGGGGATGAACAAAAGGAACTCATGAACTGTCAATTGGCCAAGCACTAAGTCTGGCAGTGCGTGTTCATTGGAAATATATGTGACCAGCCTTTCGACTTTGTGAATTGGATAGCAGCGTTCTTTCAAGACCCCATGTCTTTTGTTCGCTCACTTATGATCCATACTGTTGAGCACAAAGAATGGTACCGTACGCTCGAATGCCAACTCAGTGAAATGTACTGTTTGTACAACAGCCTTGTTTGACGTTTTAAGCTTGGGAAATGTTTTATTCCTGTAGCTTCTCCCCTAATAATCACAAATTTACATGTTATTTCTTTTAATTGATTCAGTCAATTCAGTGTATATTCATGGCAGCCATACAGGTAAAAAGTTTGGCTAACTAGATCATCAATTGAAGACCCCTTCAGTCTTTTGTAATGCTATTCATGTCATGTTTTTCAATTTTTATCAAAAGCTATCTTCATTAAGAGTGTTATTTAAAAACTGTTGAAGTTTAGAAGTTCTTTTATTATTGCAATTGATAGTACTCAGCAAGACGGGCATTTTGATGTATGATTTATGCAAATCGGATAATTAGCAGCTGAATTATAAACGTTGTTGGAGACACTAAAATGACGGTCACGCGTTTCCTATGTTAAAAATGGGCCAATTTTGCCTGAAAAATGACGATGAATATTGGCCATAACTTTTGAACTAATAAAGCTATCTAAAAAATTTAAAGAGCATAATAATCAGTGTCCCTGGCTCTATCCATTGGTGTGTCTTTTTGTTTTATTTAATCAATTTGAATTTTTTAGAAAAGTGCCTATTTAGAAGTAAAATACGTCCTTATTGATCTGTGTATCTCATAGTGCACATATTTGTTCTTTGTAGGCATGAAATGATTTTACCTTTTTCCGGTATGTTTTGACATCACATTATGTACGAGTACTGTTTGTCATAATTAATAACATAATTGAGTTTGTCCACTGTCTTTGATACGACCTGATATGTTTCAAAGCAAAAGAAACCTCTCCTGTTTCTTTTTTTACTCTTAAAGTGCACATTTCTCTCAAGAGGTCTTTTTCAGGACATTGTGTCATCATTGCTATGTACAACAAGTCATGTTTGTCATCACTGTCAGCCCCATTGATTTTATGCTTTTGCCTCATATTAGTTTAAATTGTTTTGCACAAGGCACATGAGTTTTTCTGGTACTAAGGCTTTGATAAAATGTATTTGTACAGCCTTTCACTATTGTGATGTGTTGTCAATGATAATATCCAATGTGTACCCTTTGTCTTTGTTGTACATAATGATGACATGTTCTGTGCTCTGCGTTATTGTTACAATGCTTGTCATTTATATTACCATTATGAATGGAGTTCAGAGTGTATAAAGTCTTTGTTTACTAAACAAATGGAATTTAAAGTCTATAATTTGCCTTGCTGCTTATCTGTTTTTGTCATCACTGTTACATACAAAAAATACAGTGGTTGCCAAGCCAATAGACCCATATCTCCAAAATCCTACATCTCCTTGCTCTGATACTTCAGGAATATGAGCACTAAATGTCAATCTGTGACTGACAGAAAAGGGAGTCAAATTGGTAAGGAACATTTTTTGTCACCACTGAGTCTCAAAAGTCCCATATTTTGGCAATTGCTCATATATATAATAAGCCGTTGCCAAAACGAGGGGAAAAACACATACACCTCACATTAGTGAGCATAAAATGTGATGCATTAGTATTTATTCCTCCTTAACTTATACATTTATGTCAAATATAGGATTAGAACCTGCACCAGCAGTTTCAGACCCTGTGTCTGCTTTACAATCCTGAGTTTGTAAATTTTGTACCAAAAATGTTCGTTTTTTAGTGATTCCTGCACTGTCATTTTGAGCACACCAA